GCAGGAATGGCCATCGCTGGGCAGGTGTGACAGCCCTCCCTGCTTCAATTCCCTTTGTCAGCTTCTTGCTGCTCCTGAAACTTGAACCCTGTCTGGTGTGTTGAGCTGTGGTCTGCCTTTGTGCTGGGAGGGACAGGTGAATAATTTGTCCAGACCAAAGGGGCTAAGAGTGAGTGAGAGGAACTTTTGAGACCAAAATGCTTCTAATGAAGAGCTTAGGCATGGAAGAAGTGGTAAGGAGCCTTGCTTGTACCTCCCACTGGTGAGAAGAGAAGGCCCATGTGTGCGTGCAGGCGTGCCAGTCACCACCCACGTGGAGCTGGAGCCTCACCATCTGCCTGCCACTTACAGTACACTTCTGTGTGCCTGGAGCGTAGGAGTCTCTGTTTTGGTGGGGTTTTTTCCCTTCTCTGAGGTGTATTTACTATTTGACTGTAGTAACTAGCTGCATGTAGTAAACTCTGGGTTTTAGGCGTTTTGGGATTATCAGTTCTCACACTCTGAAAACAAAGGCACAATCCCTCCCTCTTAGTGGAGGTAGGAGCTGGAGGGAAAGTCTGTATGGCAGAGATGGCCCCACACTACCTGAACTTGCTTTTCTTACCTGTAATTGCTGTTTTGAAATGTATTTAGGGCAGTGCTATGTCACTTAATGAGCTTCGAACTACTGTAGTGGCGATGTGCGCCCACCAATGCCGCCAGCTTTTCTTTGAACCTTGTGTCACGGCTGCCCAGATTGCTGATTCTTGAATTTGGGTCTGCATTAATATTCAAAGAAGCTGTTTCCTCCACGATGTTTGTGAGAATTGTACTACCTTCCTTTTAGCCATGCTGTCCACTTTAGTATATGCTGACCCCATATTTTGCAGTCCAACCCCTAAAATAAGGGGACTTGAGACAAGGCTTGCCCAGTTCCTGCGTGATTACAGGCTCAGGAGCCACAGTAGCTGTGGGGATTAAATATGGATTGAGGGCCTGGCTTCTTAAAATGCTTAGGCACAGACAGATGTCTTATGAGATTTTGGAAAAATCCCATTACGTTGCCAGTTTATATCTTTAAGTGTCTTAATATCATTAAATATCTGGGTCCCAGGTGGTCTTCTAGGTACCACGTGCTCCCTGCCCAGCAAGTGTGCTGCAGACACATGGCAGCCAGGGATCCTTGTCTCCTTTTATTTTTCTCTTGTGCTAAAAGAAACCAAAAATTTGAAATGGTTTCTTGAGGGAGGGAGGACAGCAGAACCAGTATTGGGGCTCTGCTGATCCAAACTGCCCTGTACTGGAGAGGAAAAGTGGGAAGCGTTGGCCTTTTGCACTGGACTGCCTGCCTGCGTCAAGTGGTGGTTGAGGGGTGCCAGCAGCTCTGGTGAGCAGCCTGCCATGGCAGGGACTTGCTCTGGCCTCTCTGTGCTGGCTCTGGGGCATGGGCAGCCCCTGTTGTCAACAGGGTGACTTTGCCTGATGCTTGAGTTCACGTGGGGTTTGAGCCATCTGTGCTGCCGCATTGTGTTGCACTAAGCACATGCCGCTGCCCAAGTAAATCACTTATCCACTCTGCGGGGGAGTGGTAACTGTCTAACCTCTTTATCTTTTTCTTTGTGTCCAGCCCTCCGTGCCACCAGTGCCAAACTACAAGCTCTCTATGTCAATCCCAGAATGGCTGCAGGCAATACAGACCTACATGAAGATGCTGCAGTATCCTTGAGCGTGTGGTCTCCGGAGAGAAGGCTGACTTATGCCCAGCATGAGTTAACAGGAGCTTTGCTGCAGCATTTGATGGCTGAGAGGGCTTGGGTTTGTTTGGGGGTGAAAGGATTCCTCTAAGGATTTGTGATAGCACCAGCAGCACTGAGCTTGTCATAGCAATCCTCTGGGAGATGTAATTAACTTCAAATGATACTGAAAAATTTAACTGAAGTGATGGTAGTAGGAGTTAGAAGTGCTTATTTTGAAGCTGATTTACGAAGATATTATGATTGAATTGTGATGCCTGGAGAAATAATACGGCATCTTGTCATAAAGCAACCAAGAGAACCAGTGTTGCACCAAACCCTTTCTCCCCCTGCCCTGGCAGTCCCTATGGGCTCCCTGGGGTCTGCCTATGTTCTCAGCTTGCAGGGAGTGCTTGTCATTGGGGTGAGGGATGCAAACAGGTGTCCTGTCCCCAAGGCGAGCAGGCTTATCTTTGATACAGGATCTGAGCAAAGGAATCCCCCTTCCAGATGTCCCACCTTGTTTGGGGGAGGGGGTTCATCAGGCATGAACACATCTATCTAGCCTCCCTGTAGCTTCCCATGCCTAGTTCCTGATCATTTCTATTGCTGACAGATAATACCAGAGAAGGTTTCTGGCCCAGATGCTGTTCCTCTGTTTTCCTGTTTTACTAAACTCTCCCTTTTTTTGTGTATGTATGTGGGGAAGCTGTGGGGATCAGGGATGAATGTAAAGTCCTGGTAAGGATTAAGAAAGGATGTGGGTGGCAGCTGGAAGAGCATCCAAAAATAGCAGACGCGGTTAGCCTGGAGAGTAGTGGTTAGGATCAAGGCAGTAGCAAGGCTTGGATCCACAGCAGCTGCCGTGAGGAGGGGAGGCTTGGGGCATGCCTGCTCTGCAGGGGGGTGGTGCATTTCTCTTCTCTATGTCAGCCACTTGGGCAGGACGAGAGGCTTGTTGCTCGCTGGGGTTGTGCCAGAGAGGATACTAAGTCTCACAGAGCTCCAGAAATTCTGTTATTCCCCACCTCACCCTGCAGCAGTTTGAAATCCTTCACTCTGCTAAGTAGCAGGCCTTAGGCACAGGGTTAGGCTGTGTATTCAGGAAAGCTTGAAAGTGGGCTGGGGAGCAGCATCTGGGCTTCCTTTGAGGGCTGAAAGAGGCTGTATGCTTTGTTCAGAGCACCCTGAAAGGGCCTCATGAATTAGATTTTGAAGGCAGGAGGGAAGAAAAGCCTTGTTTCTGGGAGAACTCTGAAGTGTAGTTGAAGTCAGTTCAGAACATCCTGGTGCAAGCTGGAGTTTTTATTTAGACCATGGTTACACAGCTATGCTATTAATGCTTTGCAAGGTACCCTTTGCCTCCATGGAGTCACTTGTTTCTCCCCTGGTATCACTGCTGGAATTTTACTGGCATGAATATTCTTTAGTCCTTGTTGGGAACTAGGTTAGGGAAGAGATTCGACTGGAAAAATAACCTAGCAAAAGTAGGTGGTTAGTGTGATGTTAATTTTTTAATTCTTATTTTATTTGGGTTTGTTTTGGTTTTGTTTTTACTGGACAGATTGGTATCCTGATCTGATTTACTAGGTTGCTGCTTGAACAGCTATTCTCAAGGAGCAGGGAAGAAGCTGCTTTTGTTGCTGCTGCTGCTGCATGGTAGCTTGTCCTCCTGGGCAAGTAGTGCTGTGGTTTGGTTGATGGGTGACTGCTGCCATCCTTTGTGATTAACTTTTCTACTGTCCTTATAGTGTTAAGTGATGAGCTTGACTTGCACTTAGCTGTTTATTTTCATTTCAAATCCATTGTATTTTTTAGAGAATGATTGATATTTCCTAGATGCAAATGGATGCACCTGCCATGGTTTGGGTTTACAGTTCATATGTGAGCTATGTGGCTTTATAAAGGAAATAAGTTATTTCAAACCATGAATTATGTTGATTGGTTTGGGTAGGCTATGAAAAGCTTCTCTTGCCCAAGCAGGAGACTTTTTTTCAAACTTGTAATCTAGTAGTGAGGGCCTAAAAGAGAAGAGAATTCATAACCCTCAAATGCCAAATTTCAGTGTCATTTTAGGTGGACAGCCTTTATGCTTGACTCTCCCCTGAGTGCTGGTTAATAGGTTATATGAAAGGATAAGTGAAAAAAATTACGTTCTTTCCCATGCCACGGTTTCATCTCTGAGAGCTTTAATGGCTTGTTTTATGTTTCAACAGGAAATCAGAATTAAAATTTACCTTTTGAGCACTGTTGTTTTATTGCTCGACTGTTCAAGTTACTTTCTCTTAACAGACAAAATTCAGATACAATCACACAGGAACACAGTTCTTCGAGATCAGAAAAACAAGACCTCTAAGTGGGTAAGTGTCTCCAGAAGTTGTCACCTTGGACATTTAAGCACTGTGGCATTGGAGGGCTGCCTCCTCTGTGCCACAGCTCCTCTGGCAGGGCCAATACTGTATGTTGCTACCTTTGCAAGGAGTGTCCCAGTTTGCTGCAGGTGGCAAATGGATCCATTGAGAGAGATCCAATGAGTGGAAGGGTTGGTCTTGCTTAGCAGCCACATGGGAACCACATAGTTGCATGCACAAGGATGGGAAAACTCAGTTTGTGCTTGTTGATGTTGGGTTGGGAGGGCTGGACTGTTTTTATGAAAACTACAGAAGTCCTGATATTCTTGTGCTGTAATGTCCTTTGCTGATGGTAGGAAGAGATCAGCTGCACAAAATGCTGCAAAAATTTTGATGTCTTGGGCACAGTCCTTTTCCTTGGAAGCTTACAATGGACTGCTTAAGTTGTGTCCACGCTTCTCCTGTTGCCACCTGTCTTGCTGTTCCTTCCATGTGGTAGACTCATGTGCTTGTTGGTGATGAGTTGTGCAATGCAAGTGTGAACATACCCCCAGGGAGCCTGGCAACAGAGAACTGGGTCCCTTGCATGTAAGAACTGCACTGTACTTAGGACAGCTCTTTAATAGAAGCCAATAAATTAGCAGGTTAGGGCAGGAAGTGATGTTGAAAATATTATGCTTTTATTTTATGGTGAAATTTAGGGAAGCAGAATATAATTACTCCTGTAGGCTGCCCTGTCACTAGCTCTCCCCAGCTCTCTGCCATTAATCTAATGATCCATCACTGTAAATTCTAATTCCCATCCCAGCTTTGTGCTTCAGGTTTTCATCTTGCTGACAGCAACCTTCCCACTTCCTTTCTCTATCTAATGTTCATTGGTCTGGTGGAACTAGTTTAAAACAAATTTTGTGCCTTGAATGATAGATGGGTTTACAGAAGCTTGAACCAATTTTCAAGCTGCTCACTCATTTTTAAATTTGTCCTATTAATTTTTTCCAAGGAAGTGGAGGATGAAAATTATTTGTGCTCAGCACTTACCACTTAAAAGGTTGTCATCTTCCTGGGCTGGATGAAAGCTTGGCTGAGGAGGACGGTGCCCTTTCCTAGAAGGGAACCAATGCAGAGCTCACAGCTGGAGATGTACCCGTGGCTTTGGATACTCCCCTAAGTGGTGCCATTTCCTCTATTTATCTGCCTTAGTGTTTGCTTGGGGACTTATGTCTGCCTCCTCTCCTTATTTTGTTGCTGTTAGGACTTCTGTGAGTGACATGGATTGAGGTTATGGGACTTCTGTGGTGTTCAGGAGATTGCCCTTGGAAGTGGTTCCAACCCCTCAGGGCAGCTGCTTCCAGCTTTTCAGGCACAGTAACCTGAACCTGGTGTGTGTGGGACTTGCACAGTGTGAAGTCCTAAGACCTGTCCTGCTTTGCTCTTTGATCGAGTAGATGGGAGTGCTGGGTGTAGCGGAGCTGTTAGGAGCATGTGTTGCTGCCCAGATCCTGTTGTACTGCAGTGGGTCTCAAACACTTGCCCTGTCTTGGTTTCTCCAGCTATGAGAAGGGGAACACATACAAGACAGTCTCAAGTTCCTGTCATTTTGATGAAATCAAAATTCCTGTTGTCTTTATGAAACTCACAGATTTTGGTTTAGATTTCAAAGAGACAGATAATTGTGTACTCAAATCAGACAAATACAAGAGCGAGTGAGCTAAAAGGGTCATATGGCCTAAAAACACATGATACTTGGAAGACCCAAACTTTGATTACTGAGATTTTATTCTAAATAGGTAGCATGAAGATACAATTAGTCAGGTTTTGTGAGAAAAACTAAACTTAGAGTACTGAATACGAATTTAATGAAACGAGAAAGAGAACTACCAGATCTTTTTTAATTTACCTGAGTGGGTGTCAGGAGGATGGGATCAGATTATGTTCATGGGCGCCCAGTGGCAGGACAAGGGGCAATGGGCACAAACTGTAACACAGGAAATTTCATCTGAATATGTGAAAAAACTTAACTTTGAGGTTGACAGAGCACTGGAACAGGCTGCCCAGAGAGGCTGTGGAGTTTAGTTCTCTGGAGGTATTCAAAACCTGCCTGGACACGATCCTGTGTAACCTGCTCTAGATGAACCTGCTCTAGCAGTAGGGTTGGACAGATGATCTCTAGAGGTCCCTTCCAACCCCAGCCATTCTGTGATTGTGTGAATAACATGTTGATTGACCTGTAATGTTGAGGTGTGCCTGAAAGCTTTCCTTCACCTGGTGTGCAGGCAAGCTTTCATCAAAGCTGAAAAATCACCTACAGCTGCAGTTTTTTTCTGAGAGCTGTGTTCCACTTTGCAAGAGATCTGCTCCAGCATGGCAAGAACACGCATCTTACACCAAGGCGACAAGCGCTGCTCTGAGCAAATTGCTGTGGTGTGAAAGGCCTTGTTTGCTGCAAGACTAAGTTCACATTTGCAGATTGATTGAGCAAGATGCTGAATGCCTCCAGTTGCCACTGGCTCTTGAAAAATGAGGCTGTTCCCGGAGCTTTATTGATATTAAACATATTGCTTATTTCATAATGTGTGGCCTCAAAGCTAATGAAAGTATTATGAGATCTTTGGCAGCCTCTCTTCAAGAGAGCAGTGACTGGACATGAAGAAGCTCAGTACTAGATGAAAATTGAATATTCATAAATTCATGTGGAAGTGTCCGAAAGCAGCTGGGGCATATTAATGAGTTTTTCTATTATGGAGGGAGGACTAGATATTATAGAGATTTAGTGCCAGCCTCAGTGTGATGTATGAGAAAATAAAAATGCGTGGCTGTGCTTAGGAAGAGGAGCATAAATTATCTGTAGGAACTCATTAAGGGACACAGTCTTGCTATAACTCAGCATTTACAATCTCTTTAAGAAAAAGCCACTCTTATTATCAACTTAACTTCTAGACTGCTAGACACCCTGTAGATTTGTCTAGACTACAGATAACACTTTTGAAATGTTAGATTTCTGTTGGCATAGCTGTGTGAGTCAGGATGGGAGAGCTGTGAACCTGTAAACTTTGTGTGGTGTTCTTGTTGTACTGGCAAGCTGTGTCTGAAAATGTGTCTGTGTCCATCCTTGCCTGAGTTTGAGAATTATTTCTGGATATCTCGTAGTATCTGTAGCTGTGAATTCAATATCAACAAGCTGTTATTACTGGCTTTACAAGGAGTGATAAGCCCTCTGGAAATTTCTGTTCTCTGACACAGGCATGGGCCACAATGAGGAACAAATATCTTTGTGTTCCACGGAGTATCTGGGGAGGTGCAGTATTGTACTGTGCCCTCCATTAGGTGTCAGATAATCAGTGGGACCTACAACTGAAGCAAAAAGGGATGTTTGGGTAGGTTCTGGGGGCTTTGAGAAAGTGCAGCTCAGGAGCTGCTCTGTGAGGATGGAGAGGCATTCAGTGACTGCAGATATAATGGGTAATCAATAGCAATAAACGAGTGTGATAGGAGCAGTCACGTGGGAACGATGCAACCAGATAACAGGGAGGGGGGTGTGGGAAGGTAAATAATACTGTTTCAACACACCATGTTATTAAGGAACCCTGATGGCACTGTAAAGAAAAATGGGCTCATACCATTTCCAGACAATAGACTGCAGAAGGCATTTGAACATCTGCTTCTCTCACACACAAAGGGAGAATGTTACAGATCGAGTGCTATGTTCGGCATGTGGTAGAAACGATTTTGCTGTTGAAACAGACTGGCTTTGAGAACATTCATGAGATCAGTATCTGCTCTGCTGCTTTATCTCCTTTTACTACTTTTGGCACCTTTCACTTCTCTCTTGGCTTCATTGACAAGAATAAAACTGCCAGGAGCCATAGAAAAACTTGAGAGAGGGAAATTTTATGCAAGTACAGGGGTGTGGGGAAGGAGAATTTTGTGGAAAATATGCTTGAGGATCTCACTAATAAAAATTGTATTGAAATCTGTAGGAGTCTTTCTGGTGAAGGTAATGGGCAGCCTCTCCTAAGCATGGTCATCCCTGAAGGGATTCCAGTGTGATGGGTGCCAGCTGTTAAAATCTCCAGTTTTGGGTATGCTAAAAGGTTTGAAGATTTTCTAGCCTGGATATGAAGTTGGGTGCCTGAAAATCTGGGGGCAAAAGGAATTTACAGTTCCAATGAGTTGTCTGCAGACACTGCAATTTTAAACAGAAAACCTTTACAGGTCCTATCTTCGTGCAGAAAGCAAGGGAGATAGTCCAGGTGGGGTCCTGAAAACACTGAAAGAAATTTGAGTCAATTAGCAAGGAAATATCACCATCTGCCAAGGACTAGATCTCGAGGGAGGAACAAGCAGCCTGTTCCTGATGGCTACATTTGTTAAAGGCAGAAGTGTTCACTGTGGTCTGTGGAATAGAGATCTGCCTGGCAGACTTTAGATAGCAGTGTAAATGCCACAAAGAGAAGCTGCATGACACTTAACTTGAACTGTAGCAGTCTCCCTCGAGTTACTGGAAGAGATGGGCTGCCCCCATGCTCACTGGAATCTGTGCAGAGGGTCATTGGGCTAGTTCCCAGCTGTCTGTGATATTAAATTGTAAAGATTAGCCATATATATGGAATCTTTTCAGGTAACTGGCAAGATTTAAAGAAAATCCCAGAAACAAACCATGCTCGGGCAGGAAATTGAAATGCTTGATGCTGTTTTTTTAATTCTTTTCCACCTTCCTTAAATCTTCTTTAACAAGTTTAACTGTGCAGACTTTCTGGTCATTATTAATGTCTGAGACAGCATGGTAAGAATTTAGGAGTGCAAGAAAATAAGGAAAAGACAAATCAAAGAACACTGGTGTAATGTGCTATTTTTCAAATGAGCTGAATGCTCTGTTATTCACCACAGATCCCTTAGAGAACTGACAAGCAGCCTCCAACTATTAATACTTCCATTAGAGGGTGTGGGAAGGTTGGGTAAACTGAGGAAGGCAAAGGTTAAAAAAGAGGGGAAAGGTAAGTCTAGGAACTTTGAGTTTCTGCATTTCATTGGAAGTGATGGACAGCACAATTTCGTTGGGCACAGTTTGTTTCTGATAATTTCCTTCTATGAGAGTGTTAAGAGCTTTTGTCAATCAGCGAGAAGTTGTGGATGTGGGAACTCCTTGGTTTAGTATGGCATTTGGCAGCCTGTGGATAAGGCAGGGCCCTTGAGTCTAGATAAAACTACTTAACATAAGGACCCAAGTCGGTGTAAAGCAGCAGTACCACATAGAAAGTGGCATCAACAGGTTGCTCTTGCCTAGCAGAGTTTGTCAGTTGAGATGTGCGATCTCTGTCCCAGCTCAATGTTTCTTTTGTTGATGGTATGGATAAGACTAATTGCTTGCTAATGGGTGGTTTGCTGTCCAGACTGGACAAGGTGACAAGGCTTTGCAAAGTGAAATTGGGATTTAGAGTGATCTCAAAGGGTAGGAGAGAGCTGGGCTGGAACAAACAGGAGATAATTTAGTAAGGGTAAATGCAGAGGAGGTTTTGGGAGTAGCCGTTTGTGGTGAGAACAAAAGGCTAGTTTTGCAAAGAAGGAGCTGATCTTAAAAGAAAAAAGCCAAACAAAACTGACCAAAAAATGCAAGCAAAAAGCCCCCATCCCTACCTAACCAAAAAAACCCCCAACCAACCCAGAAAAATCCCCCTGCAACAAAAGAAACCAACCCCCTGTTTAATGCAGGCCAACAGGGAAAAAACCAACAGCACACTGGGTTGGTTGCAAAAATGCACCGAAAGTTGGATTTGAAAGAAAATATAGCCTAAGGAGGATGCTTTTGGGGAGGGATAAAAAAAATTTAAAAAAATCAGTGTCTGCTTTCTCATGTTTACAGAGAGGATACATTACAGTCTGTTGCATATACAAATGTCTGTAGCAAGAGGAGAAATAATAAATGGTCGCCATGCCCACTGTGGATACCAGAAACAGCTTCTGATTTAAATTGCAAACCAGGAAAGATTTAGTTTAAACGTTAGAGGACTTCTTCGTTGCAAGGTTAAGTATAGGATGGATTAACCATTTAGTTTAAACGTTAGAGGACTTCTTAGTTGCAAGGTTAAGTATAGGATAGATTAACTGGTGGCTTCCCAGGCCTTTGAGAAGCCAGTTAAAAGTAGGTTGAAAAATCATCTGTGAGGAGCAATTTAGATTTGACTTATGCTACCTTGGGCAGAGCTTGAGGATTCTCCAGAAGTTCTGCAAACACAGGGTTTAAGGCCATGCTTCATCTCAAGCTTGTTAAAAGCAGAAGAAAAACTCTCAGTGGCTGTTGAACTGGGTCATCCACATACATCCTGTGATCCATGCTGTAAACACAGAAAAAGCAGTTTGCAGAGTATCCCCAGGACTCCGGGCTGGATGTGTGCGAGGGCATGACCTGTCCTGTGGGTACAGATGGACGTTTGGTCACTGGCCATTGGTGATGCCTCCTGGCTGATGCTCCCCTCGCACAGATCCTCATCACTGTCACATCCAGAGGTCATGGTGTCTGAGCTCCCAGCTCTGGGTGGTTGCTGAGCAGCTGCTGCAGCTGCTGGACCTGGGTGTGGATTACTCTATGTGCCTGCAGGCAGCAGGGTCAGTGCAGGTGTAGACCTGAGGAGGGTGTGCTGGCCCTGTCACTCACCATGTTAACCAGGCATTTGTCACACTAAATGGTTTGAAACTAAATATCTTTACAACTTCAGCCTTTTCCTGCTTCTGATGCACATTCATAATCAGCTGTGACTTTTTTCCTTTCTTTTGTAACTCTCCTCGAGTTAGAAGATAGGAAATTCAATGGATCATCTTGTTTATGGGTCATCTGTATGTAACACTTCTCCTGACGGAGACAGGGCTTTGCAGTGGCTACTGCTGCGACCAGCACTGAGGAGTCACTGTGGGGGATGAAGGACCCCCATTGTGTGCCCTTGCTGGAGCTGTTCTGTGCTTCCAGCAGTGAGGGTTCTGTGGCTGATTGTGAGCGTGTGGGAGGCAGGCGAACTCTAATTAGTCTTCTGCACTGCAGGCAGAGTGTAAGGGGTGGTTGTTTACAAATGAAAAGATAATTTCTAACTTGGATAAATGGGACATGGAATGGCTGTGACAGGCTGTAATAGCAGTGGAAGCTGTATTGCCATTTGCACTCAATACAGGGTTTAAAATGCATGAGGTGGGTGAATCAGAAAGTGGGAGAACCTTTAATGGTTTCAGATGCATATTTTCATAATCTTCTCTAATACAAATATTTTTGTCATTTAATGTTGTGTTTCCTTAGAGTAGGGATCTGTTTACAAAGCTCTTCCTAGGGAAAGGATATGGATAGGGAAGACTTCAAAATAGAAGTCATCTTTTGGCTTCATTTTTAACTGCTTTTTTTTTATTTTTGTTTTTTTTGGTGTGTCATTAGATGTGACCCTTCTGGCCTTTTTTAGTCTCCTTCCGGTATTTTTTTTTTAAAAAACTGTCCAAAATTTCAGGATCTGTTTGTGGAAGGGGATAGATTACCTGGTTTGTTAACAGTGCAGTGTGAATCTGGCAGAAGAGCTGAGCTCAGCTCAGCTGAGGTTGCTTGTTTCTTGTCAGTGTCTTCCCTCTCAGACAACTGTACTCCAAAGATAGTCTATACTGTAGCTAAACTTTGTCAACTTGCAAGATCCTGGACATGCACAGTTTCCTGCAGGAGACCTGTGTTTTTTGCCACTTTCCCTGTCCACAGGAAGTGGAAAGCAGCAGCAAGACGATGGCTCAGCTTGGAGTGATGTGTAGTGTCTGTGTTGATAGAGCTTTCTGTAGAGCAGGCTTTGATAAAGAGGCATTAAATTCTTGTCTGCAGCTATAGATATAGGCTCACAGAGGCTTCTGTAGCTTTCAGGGGGCCATCATGTAACCATCCTCCCTCCCCTGTTTGATTTTTTTTTTTTTTTTTTTTTCCAGAGGAGAGCCAGGGTTATTTTGAAAATAAGCCAAACTCAGTCCTGCTGTGGGAGCTTGCATGATTGCCAGCTCTCTTGCCATTCAGCAGGGCTTTGCATTACAGTCTGAAGTGAAGCTCATGGAGTTGCTGGATGAGGCAGAGGACTGCATTCCTCTAGCCCATCTTCAGAGGCTGGAAGACACTTAGGATGCCAAACACTTCCCCCCCCGCCCAGTCATCCTCCATAAGTCAACAGGGATCTGTCAAGTCACTGAAAAGGAGAATCAAGTTCACCAGCTCTTGCTGAAATGAGAACTGGAGGCGTCTGGCTCTCTGTCTGTGAGAGGACCCTGTGATTCCTGTCGTCAACGAACTGCTGTAGCTGGAAGGACTGAAAATTTTTTTGTTTCTTTTCTAGGTTAATGGAGACAGCAAAAGAAATGACCAGAGAGTCCTTACCGATCAAATGCCTTGAAGCAGTTATCCTGGGGATGTATCCTTTCACATGGACTTTTTCCACTGTAGCATTGTTTAATATATTGGCCTTCCTGGATTGTGTTTGATGGGGTCACAGCCAAAGGTGAGTGCCAGCAGCTTGGGGAGCTGCTGTGGTGTTGATCAACAAGTTGCTGAATTGCCAGGGCTTGTCAGTACGGGTTTGAATGCCGTGAGCCAGTTCACAAGTGTCATGCTCTGGCTGTGCTGACTTTGCCTCCTGCCCTGGTAATCTGCATTATGTCAGGATCTGACCTTAAGTGCCCAGATAAGTGTCTACACAATCCTTGTTTTCTTTGTTAGTATTTCTCTGATGGTTGTTGTTGGAGCTTGGTAATGCCTGGGGAACACAGGTTCTGTTCTGTGTTTCTCTGATGTGTACATGGCAAAGTCACGTTAGTTTTGTGTCTCAGCCCACAGCTGTGCTTTGTGCCGAAACTTGTGTATTATAGTTAAACATTTAAGCTTTATCTTAACATGATGCTTGCTTTCTGTTCAGGCTCAGAAAAAAAATAAGGAGTATTTTCATTTAGAGATTCACTGATTCACTTCTTGACCCTCATGTGCTGTCGTTTATAAATCAACCTGCATCATCCTAAAACGCCAGAGGATGGCAAGGCAGGGCTACAGGAACAGCTTGCCAGATAAAACTCAGCACAGCTGATCAAGTTGATTTAAAACAAAAAAAACCCAGCCCACAATAAGCCCTGAAACAAACCAGCCTCTGGAAAATCTCTGCGGCGATTTGCTTGCTGCTGCTGCCCCCTCTCGTGGGAGAAGGAGCTGGCAGAGCCTGGCAGGTAGTGCCTGCTGTTGGCTCCTGAGAAGGGGTGGCTGCTGGGGGTGGTAGGAAGGGGATGTGGGCCCAGCAAGTGCAAGAGTGTGGTGTGCCAGACTGGTTGCTGGATTCAGTCCCCACTGTGCTAGGAGGTCTGTGGTGTGCTGCTGTGGCTCTGCTTGGCTCCCTGTGCACCTGGGATAGGCCTTGCCCCTGAGTCTGAATGGTGGCTCTGACTGACAGGGCTTCCTCTGCAAATGCTGGCAGGGTCTGCATGCAGCTAGAGAGGTGGAGGTCCCAGGGGCTTGATGTGAAGAAGGGAATCAAACCAATCCCCTTCTAGAAACATAAATCACAGAATCATGGAATATCCTCAGTTGGAAGGGGCGCACAAGGATGATCAAATTCCAACTCCTGGCCCTGCGCAGGACATCCCTAGGAATCCCCAAAAATCACACTGTGTGCCTGAGAATGTTGTCAAAGTGCTTCTTGAACTCTGGGAGTGTTGGTGCTGTGACCACTTTTCTGGAGAGCCTGTTCCAGTGGCTAACCACCCTCTGGGTAAAAGACCATTTCCTAATATCCAGTCTAAATCTCCCCAACACAGCTTCATGCCATTCCCTCCGGTCCTGTCACTGGTCACCAGAGAGATCAGTGACTGCCCTTTCACTTCCCCTCATGAGGAAGGTGTAGATTGCAATGAGGTCTCCCCTCAGTCTTCTCTTTTCCAGGCTGAACAAGCCAAGTTGCATCAGCTGCTCCTCATATGGCGTTTCCTTTAGGCCTTTCACCATCTTCGTTGCCCTCCTTTGGGTGCTCTCTAGTAGCTTTATATCCTTCTTGTGTTGTGGTGCCCGGAACTGCACACAGGACTCAAGGTGAGGCCACACTAGCTCAGAGTAGAGAGGGACAGTCACGTCCCGTGACTGGCTGGCAATGCTGTGCCTGATGCACTCCAGGACACAGTTGGCTACCAGGCCACACTCTTGGCTCGTATTCAACTTGCCATTGACAAGAACCCCCAGGTCCCTTTCCAGAGCACTACTTTTCAGCACCTCATTGCCCAGTCTGTATGTAGACCCAGGGCTGCCCCATCCCAAGTGCAGAATCCAGCACTTGCCCTTGTTGACTTTGTATGGTGATTGCCCAACCCTCTAATTTGTCTAGGTCTCTGCAAGGCCTCTCTGCCTTTAAGGGATTCAGCAGCTCCTCCAATTTTGTGTCATCAGCAAACTTACTAAGTATACCTTTGAGTCCTGTGTCCAAGTCATTTGTGAAGATGTTGAAGAGAACTGGCCTTAAAATGAAGCTCTATGGAAGCCCTGTAGTGGAACATCACCAGCCTGATGTTACCCCAATTCACTGTAGCCCCTTGTGCCCAACCCGTGAGCCAACTGCTCACCCATGGCATGATGTCTTTAGCTAGCCATACACTAGATATTTTGTCCAGAAGGATACTGTGAGAGACAGTATTGAAAACTTTGCTGAAATCTGCCAGAAGGATACTGTGAGAGACAGTATCGAAAACTTCGCTGAAGTCTTAAAAGATTGCATTAACTGACTCCCCTCAAAATTATATCAGTGGATCTGTTGTGCTTTCCCTTGTGTCAGGGTTGTGTCCTAAATTATTTGGGGCCAAAAGGGATGGGGGAAGCAATCCTCAGGTGGAATTGATGCTGCTCTGCAGGGTCAATGTGGCTTGTCATGCTATATTTTATCAGTGAGCTGATTATTCCACAAACTACAGAAGCAAATGGTGATTAGTGGCCTACAGATAACCATGATAACCTACAAGTGTTCTTGCTGTTTTTTCTGCTTGCTTCAAACATGACTTGTGTTCAGATTGGGTTTGTTTGGGGTTATTTTTGAGCAGTGAGGGAAGGAAAGTTGAAAGTTATGTTTTATACTATTTGGTGTAATTTGAAGTTTCTTCAGATTTAAGATTTGTATTAGGCATTCTGTCTCTAGATAGTACTTAAAAAAATCCTGTGGCAAACTTTTTATGTTAATTTGAGAAGATGTAGGCAGGGGGAGGGTATGAGACAGGCTTGTCTTTCTAGGACTAATGCTTCCTGTCTTGGAAGTCTCCTGTGTGAGAACAGGGACTGTCTGCTGGGTGGTGGTTCAGTAACAGATGCATTAAAGTTTGAAAGATCCATGCAGTATAAAACCGAAGTATTTTGCTTGAGGTGTGGGTGCACACAGAGTCCAGCAGTGCTGAGTGGATGGACATCTGAATATGTGTGTTTGGAAAGTGGCTGGTACAAAGCCTGTGCCTGTGCAGGACCTTACAGTGCTGTGATGCATGTGCGCCATGTGTGTTTTTGGGAGGCATCATTGTCATGGCACATGGGGAAGTTTGTTGTTTTTTTCTCAGCCCTGAGATTCTGATCTTCAGCACTGCCCTCTGGATGCAGACACAGTGAGGCTAGCAGCTTTCCAAGGTCAGGTGGCACCCAGAGCAGGGATGTGCTTACCCTCTCCTGGGTGTCCAGTGTCTTCACACACGCCTGAGCTGAGCAGCCCTGGGGATGTGTGTGTGTGTGTTAACCTCTGGTTCCATTCCATGTCTCTGAAAATAAGGTCCTGCTTGTAATTTGTGTGCTGGCAGGCTTTGCAGTGTTGCTTGGATACTGAAAAAAGCACAGCCCACTCCCGCGGACCCTGCGCCTTCATTCAAAGCCGACTCAGGGAGCGGCTTAGCAAGGTGTCATTTTAATTGACCTGCTCGCTGGCTTGTGCAATTGCCTTTTACTATGCCACTTCTTATGAAATGCTTCTGTAATCCCTCTTGGTGCAGAATTAAGTTTTGCATAATTGCCTGTGCGCTAGATCTGGAAGCATTTTAATAGGGCAGTGAGTTAAAATACTGAGCTACCCTGTCTGCACACACCAAAGAAGCAGCTGCTGTGAGATGACTGAAAGCTCGTACAGATCTTCCAATATTATTTTGCAGCAGTCTGCAGAGCTCTTTTTTCTCTGTAGCTGTCTGAACTGGCTTCATATCTCTCTGCTTACATGATCTGCTTGTCAGTGCCTAACCAGAAGCATTCCTCCCACTGTCTTCCTCAGGGCTTTTCTCAATTCAGTTGTAAATCAGCTGAGTAATGGTGCGTTCAGCCCCCTCTTTCTGAGCAAAGCTCCAATCGACTCGTTCTCAAGAAAGGGAGTAGTAAACCAGAAAGTGCTGAGGGAATTTTATCTGTGCTGTATCCACTTCATTAAAATGGCGAGAGCAAAATATCAGAGGGGGAGAGGGAAATAGTGCGGTGCATCCATCCTCAGGGAGGTTGTGCAGTGTCTGTGTCAGCTGAACATAGCTCCTGTTGCCTTCTCCCAGTTTGTGTGAGGTGGTTGGAGCCATGCAGGGTATTAGACCCCCTGTCCAATAATATCATTAAACAAGGGAGAGAGCAGCAGAAGTGTCTCAGGAGGGAGAGGTTATTTAATAGCTTCTGCACTATACCTTCTGCGCATTTAATCAGTGGATGATGTTTATCCCCACTGGAGACCTGGGTCCATCCTGCTCCTCCAGCCTAGCAGGCACATCCCTGGGCTGGGAGGGAGTGTTTTCAGTAAGGGGGAGAGTTTCTTGCTGTCATTGCAGGATATTGATGTCCTTGCAGTGCTCCTCTTTGCCTCCTGCGTGCTTGTCTACAGCTTGACCCACTTGTTAACTGAAATACAGGGAAGAAGGAGCCTGCTGAATATCTGCAGCCTCTCTGGCAGCTGGGAAGAGCTGGGAGAGAGCTTATAATTGCTTACTGTCATGGTCTAATCTTAAGATAGTCACCTCTGACTGCAGCCAGGCATTGGAGGGTAGGTTTCTCAAAATGAGGGTTGCCAGCCTGTCAGTCTCACTCTGGGAGGCTGAACCAGCTGCTCAAGCCAATGGAGATGCTAGGGGGAACTCTGGGCCCTCTGTGTAGAATACATCCACATGTTGGCTTGGTAGCACTCTACCTCACAGTAAGCAATCCCAAGCCTGTGGGAAATGCCGTCTGACTCCAGGCTGTGGTTGGAAACTTCTCTGAGTGTTTACTGCTGGTGGTTGGAGGCCCTCTGAGCAGTTGCTCGGAAAAACAGCTCTTCTGTTTCTACTGAAGTCTTATCTGATGGTTTTGAAGCTTGAGGTTTATTTTCCTCCTGCTACACCTCTTTGCTCTGAGCTAGCAGCTTCAGCACTGCTAGTGTAAATGAAGCGGCTTCCTTGCTCCTCA